TGCTGCTGAGGCGGCCTCTGTGCCTGCTGACGTGGCTGCTGCTGCTGTGGTGGCTGCTGCTGGAGTCTCTTCGGACAGCGACTCGCAAAATGTCCCGGCCCCTGGCAATAGTAGCAGATGTCCAGTCCAGCACGACACTCTCCCCTGTGAAGTCGACCACAAGTCGGGCACGGTGGAATCGGCTGCTGTCTCTGTCGGGTCCTCCGGTCAGTCGGTGCGCCCTTTCCCTTCCTCTTCTTCTCCTTTGCTGGCTGTGGGGCTGGTAGAGCTGGTGGAGCTGCAAATGGCTGAGCTGGGGCGGATGGCTGGGCACGATCACGAACTGCCTCCCTCCTGATACTAGCGTCCACCTCCTGGGCGATAGAAACGGCACGAGCGTAGGTCTGAGTCCCGTGTCCCACGATGTTGTGACGAACTGCTGGGTAAAGTCCGTCAATGAACCGCTGCGCTCTCTGGGCCTCCGTGCGAACAAGATCCGGTGCAAAACCTGCAAGTCTAGTGAACTCTCGCTCGTACTCATCGACAGTACGAGTACCCTACTGAAGCGCTAAGAACTGGCGCTCCATCTCTGCCCGATAGTAGGAAGGGTAATACTTGTCACGGACTAGCTCCTTGAACATGTCCCATGTACAACCCGTTTTTTCACCAGGACGCATGCTCCAGTAGGCATTCAACCAGAGCCTTGCATCACCAGTGAGCTGAAGCTGAGCGCAAACTACGCGATACCTATCGGGGCATTCCATAACCTCAAAGATAAATTCCAACCCCTGAATCCATTCATCAACGATGCGGGGGTCTCCCTGCCCTGAAAACTTCTCGGCGTGATAGTCGCGGAACTGAGCGACTACCGTAGCCTGAGTAGGAGCCTGATGATCGGGTTCCCTACGTGGCGGCATCTGAATATTGAGAAAATTTAACATTACTGAATACATGATAACATTACTGACTGATTATTAAGGCACACAGATCTCTTGACGAGTTGCCAAAAATGGCTGATAAATACTGACGTGAATCCTGAAGAACTCTAGAGTCATATAGGAAGATCCTAATGTCTAGAGTCATATCTGAATGCCTGAATTCTAGCGTCATGTCTGAACTCTAAAGTCTGAACCTTATTCGAGCATCTTAACTAAAGTCCTGATCCTCAATTCTGAGCATAGACAAAGTAATATGTTTATAACTGAAAAACTGAATCAGCACTTACCTGTTGTCGGCGGGGCGTGAGCATGACGGTTCAGGTTTTTCTGAAAAATTACTGACTGAAAACTTATCATGTAATATCCCGAGATATTATCAGTATAAATTACGTTTAATTCCGATATAGTAACG